TGGTGGTGGTGGAGAGAGGGCTCAGGAGTTTTCAGGATAAAACTCAGGCCTGGTAGCACGTTACTGAACACCATGGACTGTGTGGGTGGGTGCGTATGTGATTGCCTCGACCGCCCGTTCAAGGCTATAGGGGGGGATCTTTGTCTTGTGTGTGTGTGTGGTGGAGAGGGGAAGGCAGCGGTTAGCGCGCTGTGCTACGAGCTTGGTGACCCGAGTTGGATTCCCGCTAACGGTCAGCACCAGTGTCGATTATCTGAACCGGTCACGAGGCCTCCCCTGGGTCGTCTCAGCCTCAAATGAGTACCTGGTGCGGTGTGTTAGGCATCGCCACTGGGGAGACAAAGGCGGTCGGGCGTGGTGCTGGCCACCCACCCCCTCGTGTACCATTTCGGCCTTCATATCTGCTCGCTAACAGCACTTGCCCCTACAGTCTGTTAAGGCTATACGGATAATATTTTTTTTTTATTTGCAGTGCAGCGCCATGCGCTACGAACCCGCCGAGTTGGACGCGCGCTCACCACCGACAATAACAGAGGCGAATATTTAAATCCGGCCCCATGCGTCGCCTCCTTCGAACGAAACGACATTTGCCTGGCGCGCTGTGCGTTCGCACAAGGTGCTCAAAAACAGACGGCCACTTTGCCATAACAGCAGTCTGTTGGAGGCTATCCTGGGTTGGGGAGGGGGGGGGGTCTTTGTCTTCGTGCGCGTGTCGTCTCCGATGCGCCGTCGTTTGTATCCTATTACCCACAATTCGCCAAGGAAGCGCTTCATGGCTTTGTTATACCCTCGGGTATATGAATCATAAACGCGTGCATCACTACATATAGTTTCCGTATACATTGAATCGCATGGACGTGGGAGCATGATATTTATTATTATTATCGTACAGGATGTTACGTGAATTGATATGATACGTCGAATTCCAAATTCGCTTCTAAATAATTGAATGCGATTTAATGCTTAAAGCTATGGAATGTAACCACTTTAGCTCCGCTCTGCTGTGAGATATCATTGTGGCAATATTTGTTTCACATAAGCACTGCGCGTGTTCATTGCGAGTGTAGTGCTTTATTTATTCATTCATCGCCGAGCGCAATACTAAAACTATTGCAATTAACGTTAATGTGCAAGTTTAGAACGCATAATCATGAAATATGCTGCGTGAATTACACTGCTCATGAATAACAACACAGCTCCCGTGGATGTAAATTAACCGAAGCGTCTGCCTTAGCCAGGTGATTTTAAGCAGCGGTTAAGGTACTTCATTAATGTTATAAAATATAACCAATCCCCCAGTGAGGGATTCTTCAATGCGGCTCACACCCCCCCCCTCTCCCCGCCGCACGCTCCCCATAGTCTAATTCCTTAAATGCATCCGCTAATCAAATTGATTAACAAAAAAGAGATATTCCGGAAACGAATTCTGGGAATAAATCACATCACATCAATGGATCTAAAAAGTTTATTAACAAAAAAAAAAGATTCCTAGAGGCGTCCCCGTTGGGAAGAGATCTACAACTCCGCAGCGGGGGTGTAATCTACACTTGGTCACAATTACATTAGTTAATATTAAATGTATCGTATATAAGTGGGTAATTAGCTTAAAATCTAATAAGCTAATGTACTTAAAAAATCAAATATATAATAGATCACTGTTCATTGTTTAATTCGGGTGGTATTTCCGCATGCGGTGCATCAGTCCGACCACCAAGTTATATGCGGAATGTTTAGTTTTGACACTCCAATAATAATAATTACAACAACAACACTTATTATTGTATACTTAACAGCCCTTTGTCAATCCACTGCTGGATGAACACCTTCCCCGGGGCACTTCCGTGTCGGTAACATCATGATGGGATGTCATACGATGCGTTATGAAGCAGGGTCATTGCATGAAACGTTGCCAATTGTATAACTATTTTTCTTCCAAGGCCACAGTGTTATTGACGCGTGTGCTGTGTGTTGTTGTTAACTGTGCTTTCGTACCAATGGCAACGAAGCAGCAACAGGGCCACCAATAATCGCCAAACAATGTGTCGTATCATAGAGGATTGTGCATAGCCATACTTCACCACACTGGTCAGTAGAGTATTGATGAGCGAAGGAGGAGGAGGAGTCGAGCGGGCTGTAGGCTGGGTGGGTTGAGGGTCGCGGTAGCCGAGCGGTGAGCGCGCCGCGCTACGAACCCGGTGACCCGAGTTCGATTCCCGCTAACGGCCACCAGCACCCGTGACGATTATCTGAACCGGGCCTAGGTCGACTCAGCCTCGAATGAGTGCAAACATCGCCACTCGGGAGACAAAGGCGGCCGGGCGTGGTGTTGGCCACTCACCCCCATCGTGTGCCGTGCCGCCCTTCATAGGTGCTCGCTAACAGCACTTGCTGTACGTCTTTGGTTAAGTCTCGCTGGCCACCGCTTGCTGGCCGTGGCTGGGTTTCACAGCGCAGTGCTGATGACCGTTCGTTGCACCTCCACTGCGACACTCCGTGCATTCGAACATCCACACGCGCCAGCCGAGTGAGTGAGCGAGCGAGCGAGCGAGCGATCGATGAGTTGGGCAATAAAACAAAATAAAAACAAACAACCTGTCTCTACAGGTTACGCAGGAAAGTTGTCCATGCGAGTCCGAAATTCTTGCGACCGACGCAACGCGAACAAGGCAGGTTGTTTTTTTTTTGGGGGGGGGATTAATTGCGGGGTTGTGTGAGCCACGATCCCCCGACGGATCGGATTTGTTCAGTAAAGATATCGCGGTAGGCTCCATCCGCGTTGCGGATTCACTTCCATAGCACCGCGCGCCTGCCCGAGTGTCTGTAACGCATTCGGGGGATAGTGTCCCACTGTGTGTGTATACATATATACATATATGTGCATGTATGAACGATGTGTGTATATATATATGTGCATCTGGGTATAGTAGGTAGCGGTGAGCGCGCAGCGCTACGAGCCCGGCGAACCGAGTTCGATTCCCGCCCATGGCCAACACCCAGTGACGATTATTTGAACCGGTCCTGGGCCTCCCCTAGGTCGACTCAGCCTCAAATGAGGTCCCGGTTGCGATGCGCAAACGCCGCCACTCGGGCGCGATACGCTACGTATGACGCTGCTGTTGCTAGCAGTCAGTTAATGCATGAACACTGGCGACAAAGAGCTTGCTCCCTTGAACCACAGAGACGTCTCGAATGCTCACACGTGCGGCGTCTGACGATACACTATAGCCAGAAGTCTGTCTGGTCAGATCTTTATGTCACCAATGGTACCAAATAAAAAAAAAACAACCCCGTTACAACGACAAGACCAGCGGTCAACAAGTTTCTAGAATGTACTTAGCAATAAATGAATCGTTAATTGGGTAATAAATTAGACGATCGTGCCTGCCGGAATGTGGGTAGTGCACAGCGCTAAACCCGTAATCATAATACTTATAAATATCCACACGATTGGTCTGTTGATGACATTTACATTGGATTTCGCCTCTTAGCGGACGGTTCATATTTTCACCATTGCGTGCCTTTTACAATTTAGTTTTGCCCAAAGTCTATCGCGTGATGTCGCCGTTGAATAACTTTGGCGCCAGCGCTGTGGTCTCTTATGTGCAATAAGTACATATATATAAATATATAAGTACATATATAAATACTTTCTTTGCTGCAAATGAAACTCTCCTCGGGCTAACTCTGTGCGGCTGTTGTTCGTCGTGGTTGTTGTTGTTGTTTAGGATATCTTTGTTGTTTACACGGTGTGTGTAACATCGGTGTTATTATTTGCATGGAGGTGACTTTAATTGATATCGGGTTCCGACTGAACTTCATCAAACGTTTTTTATTTATTCTCGTAAACGAATTGAATTGGTGCGCGCGTGCGCGTGTGTGTGTGTATGTGTGTGTGCGCGAGGAATATCGCAATTTGCACTATTTTGAGTCTTCATATGTTCGTCCTAACTCTTCCCATAAGATGAAAAGTCACGTTACAAGCGCCGGGCGTTATGACTGCTCCCGCTGGAATTTACAGAAACAACAAACAAAAAAAACAGATCTGAACTTGCGTATATCGTAAAGAGTCACGTGACGTGTAAGTTGGGGGTTAAAACAATACAAAACTCCACCTAATAATATATCAGATAAATAACGTACATTCCGCCTTTAGGGGCTCACACACTCATCAAAGCATCGCGTACCCATTTTGCATTTGCTAAACATGATGCCTTGAATAAAGGTGTCAGTTTTTTTGCGTCGGTTAAAAGGGTAAAACCTATTACGAGATCGCGTACCCATTTGTCATCTAAATATTCTCACAGCAGGCGGAATAATTCGCGGATAAATCTGTTTGAGTGATCATGAAAAATCAGCATCATGATCTGCCGTCTGTTTCGGCTTTTTTTTTGGAGAAAGAAAAAAAAATACTCGTGGGTTTGTGCGCAGTGTTGAGTGTGTGTCTTATTCGTCCACTTCGCTCTCGAGGGCACGGCATAGCGTGTCCGTGTGTGCGTATATATATATACACACCACACAGCTACACCGTCGCATAGACTTGCTCACACCCGCAAGCTCGAAGCTTCACTTCACTCGCCTCGGCACCGCATCTACCGATGCGTTCCTCCTCGCAACCAGGGGAGCAAGAGGCGTTAGACTGTAGAGGGGTAGCTGGTGGGGGGGTTGTGGGGGGGGGCAAATGGTGTGAAAGCCTCGCTTGGATGGGACGAGAATTTCGAGTTTACCGCCGTAAACACGGACAGCCTGCGGCGGGAATGGGGGGCCCTGTCTGGTTATGCAACGCGGACGTGCGCCGCTTGCGAATTCTCCTCGCTCCCCCGGTCCCTCGCATCGCCGCTGCGAGAGACGGCATCGGTGGAGGGAGGGTTAAGCAGAGGCGGGAGGCAGAGGCGGCGGAGGGATGGGGGGGGGCAGGGGGGTGGCGCTGGGGGGGGGGGCAGGAGGTGGCGCTGTGGGGGGGGGGGTGGTGGTGGTGGTGCGCCCCCCTCGGACCCTAAATTTCTAACTCCCCCCCTCTCCTCAAGCTCATCATCACCATCTCCCCCCCCCCTCCAGCCGTCTTTAGTGAGGCGGAGTCTGCCGCCGATGTCACGAGAGGCCCCATTGGCTGGCAGGGCGCGTGACCGCGCGCGGGTGCGAGAGAGGAGTGGGTGGGTGGGAGGTGGGTGCCGCTCGTCCTGGCGCTTGAAAATGTTTTCTCGGGATGCCGCCGCTGCTGATGATGATGCTGCTGCTGCTGCTGCAGCTGCAGCTGCAGCTGCTGATGATGCTGCCGCTGCTGCTGCTATGTCGGGTGGCTGCTGCGATGCCAAGAATCACCCCGAGCCATTGTTCGCGCCGCCACCTCCGCGCCTGAAGATGTCATCGCCGTCGGCCCCGTCGTGTCCTCCGAACGCGTCGGGTCTCGCCAACTCGTTCCTCGTCGACTCGCTGCTCGTGGGCGCGAGTCGGGCGGGCTCGGCCGACTTGTTCTACGCGGGCAAAAGCGGCCCCCTCTACGCAGGCTCGGCCGCGAGTTTGCAGCACCATCACAATCACCACAATCACCACAATCACCACCACAATCACCACCACAATCATCACAATCACCAGCAGCAGCAGCAGCATGGCTACGCAGCAGCCGTGCAAAATTGTAGCCTCGTGCAATCACTCGTCAAACGCTCGGACCTGCCACCGCCCCACCACCACCACCACCATCCTCACGCTGTTCACCACTACCACCACCACCACCACCAGCAGCAACAGCAGCAGCAGCAGCAGCGCCTAACTCTGGGTTCGCACCACCCCGCCACTGTGTACGCGACCTCTATGCCCGAGGGCGGATCGTGGGGAGATCCGATCCGGGCATGCGGCCAGCTGGACGCGAACCAATGCGCGCCTCACGGAGCCGTCTTCTCGCCGCACGCCGTCAAAGAGGAGGACGCCTACTGCCTGTACGGAGCCGTCGACGTGGCTCGGGCTGCCAAGGCCGAGGCGACGCACGCGCGCCTTCAACTGCAGGGCGCCGAGGCTTCGTCAGCCGCGGCCGCGTCTGACGGAGGCGCAGGAGTTCCCGTGCCCGGCTACTTTCGCCTGGGGCAAATGCCCTCCGCGGTGGCGGTGAAACCCTTGGATTTCAGCGCCTTGGAGGATGTCTCGCCCGGCGGCTTTTCGCGGTCGCCCGAGTTGAATCACGAGCCCGCCGTGGTAGCGGCGGGGGCAGCGGGGGCAGCCGAGGCCACGGCATCGCTGTCGGCATCCCCGGCTCGATTCACGCCCAGCGGACTGCCGGACGCGGCACCGGTGGCGATTGGCTCAGCGGCCGGTGGCAGACCGGGGACTCCCGAGGAGCTGGGGTCACCGAATGAGCCCCCCATCTCCGCTCCCCACGCTGGGCCCCCCGCTTTGGGCGGACCCATCAACCACAACCACAACAACCACCACCACCACGACCACCACCACCAGATCGCACCCTCGCACCGCGCGGAGAGCGGTGGCTTCAGTCCCGGGGGCACGCCCAAGCCAGGTGGGTGCAGAGGCGAGCCGCTCGGTGTGGCTGATGGCTCAACCCCGGGAGAGAGGTGCTGGTTAAGGGGGGGTGGGGGGGGAGAGAAGGGGTGTCGAGGCGGGGGTGGCTTGCGGGCAATGTCAAGTGACTTGATGCCCCAAAGCCGAGTAGGAGGAGGAGGAGGAGGGGGGTGTTGTAGATTATTTATCGCTGTTTTGGAATCCACCGCGCGCAACGTAGACCGTCGGGTTTAAAAAAAAAAGAACATTTTTTTTTTAAAAAAAGAACATTTTTTTTTTATCATCGTATTTAATTTCATTATTAGTCGTATTATTTGAAACCACAGACGTTTACTGCATTAGCCGCGCCGCTGGTTGTGTGGCTCGGAGCCCGTTGTGCTTGATGTGGTTTTATTATATATATGCTTTTATTATATAATATATTACATATCTTGCGGTATGCACTTGGTTTCATTGTTATGTACGGCACATGTTCCTCAAACGGTGTTTGAGGGAGGAATTTGTCCGCTAATTTACAATCTCGACACACAAGCCGCAGGTTGAACACTACGCGAATGCCATCATTGTTATTGAATGTCGAAGTACGGGACGATCTGAACTGCACTGCGTGGCTGTCCGAGCGCGTGTTGATCAGCTGTAGGATCGACACAACAACTCCTTGGAGTGGCCACGCGGTAGGGCACCACATCACATCATTGCGATCGACTCTCTGACCATTTCACCGCTCTAACGAGCAGTTGGCTCGTGTCAGCGGTGAACTTGCCGTCTGTGCGTGTATATATATATACACATATACAAAATACCAAGATCACCCCGTGTAGCCTTGACACAGACTGTGTGAGGGCAGGTGCTGTTAGCGAGCACCTATGAAGGCCGACTCGGACACGCGAAGGGGGGGGGTGGATGGCCAGCGACCACGCCCGGCCGCCTTTGTCTCCACCAGTGGCGATGTTTACTCACCGCGCCAGGCACACATGAGGCTGAGACGAACTAGGGGAGACCAGACCCAGGAGCGGTTCGGATGAGCGTCGCTAGGTGTTGGTCGTGAAGCGAAAATCGAACCCGTGTCGCCAGGTTCGTAGCACAGTATCGTATAGTAACCGCTGTGCACACGCACACACACAAACACCAGCTTCGCTACGCCATTCGATAGGGCCTTGTTAGCTCAGTGGGCTTTACTCGGGAAATACACTTCTGATTGTAACATTTCCAAACAAGGTACCCGTTAGAACCCGATTGATGGGCTACGGTTTGCGTTATAGGTTCCACGTTCCGCGAAACGAGTGTGTATATCACGAGTGTTTGTATCACGGGTGTGTGTGTATCACGGGTGTGTGTGTATCACGGGTGTGTGTGTATCACGGGTGTGTGTGTATCACGGGTGCGCGTGTGTATCACGGGTACGCGTGTGTATCACGGGTGCGCGTGTGTATCACGAGAGTGTGTGCGTATCACGGGTGTGTGCGTATCACGAGTGCGTGTGTATCACGGGTGCGTGTGTATCACGGGTGCGTGCGTATCACGAGAGTGTGTGTATCACGGGTGTGTGCGTCTCACGGGTGTGTGCGTATCACGGGTGTGTATCACGAGAGTGTGTGTATCACGGGTGTGTGCGTATCACGGGTGGTGTGTATCACGGGTGTGTGCGTCTCACGGGTGTGTGCGTATCACGGGTGTGTGTATCACGAGAGTGTGTGTATCACGGGTGTGTGTGTGTATCACGAGAGTGTGTGTATCACGGGTGTGTGCGTATCACGGGTGCGTGCGTATCACGGGTGCGTGTGTATCACGGGTGTGTGCGTATCACGGGTGCGTGTGTATCACGGGTGTGTGCGTATCACGAGAGTGTGTGTATCACGGGAGTGTGTGTATCACGGGTGTGTGCGTATCACGGGTGCGTGCGTATCACGAGAGCGTGTGTATCACGAGAGTGTGTGTATCACGGGAGTGTGTGTATCACGGGTGTGTGCGTATTACGGGTGCGCGTGTGTATCACGGGTGCGCGTGTGTATCACGGGTGCGCGTGTGTATCACGAGAGTGTGCGTATCACGGATGTGTGCGTATCACGGATGTGTGCGTATCACGGGTGCGTACGTATCACGGGTGCGTGTGTATCACGAGAGTGTGTGTATCACGGGTGTGTGCGTATCACGGGTGTGTGCGTATCACGGGTGTGTGCGTATCACGGCGCTGTGACCGTGTGGGCGATTTACCAGGTAAGGCCCCACTGAACTATACAGCTCTTACAGAAGCCACCTAGCCATCGCAAATGATCGCTCAACGAAGTGGCTTATCGTCATCGCGCGGACATTTATAGCGGCAGCCAAATTCTCTGAACGCGTGACGTTGATTCTAAATGTGGAGGGGAAAAACCAGAAGCCTCGGAGAAAAAATGCACTGCGACCACGGGAAGAGAGAGCGAGAGAGAGAGAGTGACACGCAGAACTCCGAAAACACAACAGGCGTCAGGGTCGGGATCGAACCCACGGCCTCCTGTATACCAGGCGAGGTAGTTAACATCTCGCCACAATACTGAACACCCGAGCACGTTACACAGACGTAGCCGAGGCGAGATACACCCTTTGGCAATTCACCCATCAGAATTCGCAACGCGTTGACGCCACGTTCGGATCGCATCATCTCGTCGTAAAACAGTTGGTAATGGAGACATCGACGAAATTTTTGCTCACAAATTTCTCTCCCCCCCCCCCCACACACATCTCACCCCCCCCCCCCCACCCAACAAAAATGATAAACTTCTCAAACAGCTATTAAAATAATAGTCATCTTTATTTCACAGAACGCCTTTTAATATCGAAGTATATCACAGTCCTGTGACATCTCTCTGCTCACAATTCGAAATACTTAAAATAACAATAACAGCACTAATAATAACGACAACAATTACACTCGCTCTGTCGACACATATGAAGAACTAGCTGCGACACAGGACGACATTAATAATAATAATTATTATTATAATCACGAGAACAAAAATTGTTCACTCGCAGCTTCGGGTGACATCCACAAACAAACGAGAGAAAACGCCAACAACGAGACCCAACCTGGACGGAATATCTCTCACGGCGGTACACTCCGAATGCTCCTGGCGAGCTGATCTGGCGTGACCACCTGAGTGTGTAATGTAGTCGTTGCTCCGCATCTATGTCAGCAGCCGTACGAAAGAATCATTTTAAGAAGCAGGTGAAAATATCTGAACGCTGTGTTGCCCCCGTGTCTCCTCGATCTGTGTCTGTCTCTCTGTCTGTCTCTCTGTCTGTCTCTCTGTCTGTCTCTCTGTCTGTCTCTTTCTCTCTGTCTGTATCTCTCTTTCTGTCTCTCTCTGTATCTGTCTCTTTCTTTCTGTCTCTCTCTCTCTGTATCTGTCTCTTTCTTTCTGTCTCTCTCTCTGTATCTGTCTCTTTCTTTCTGTCTCTCTCTGTATCTGTCTGTCTCTGTCTGTCTCTCTCTGTCTGTCTCTCTCTGTCTGTCTCTATCTCTGTCTGTCTCTATCTCTGTCTTCTCTCTATCTCTGTCTGTCTGTCTCTATCTCTGTCTTCTCTCTATCTCTGTCTGTCTGTCTGTCTCTATCTCTGTCTGTCTCTGTCTGTCTCTCTCTGTCTCTCTTCGTCTATCTCTCTGTCTCTCTCTGTCTCTCTCTGTCTCTCTCTGTCTCTCTGTCTCTCTCTGTCTCTCTCTCTGTGTCTCTCTGTCTCTCTCTGTTTCTCTCTTTGTCTCTCTGTCTCTCTCTGTCTCTCTCTGTCTCTCTCTGTCTCTCTCTGTCTCTCTCTGTCTGTCTCTCTGTCTCTCCGTCTCGCCGTGCAGAGGTTGTCATCCGCGACGGAGACGCCGCACGCGAGGCCCCGGGCGGCTGGCTGACGGCCAAGAGCGGACGGAAGAAGCGGTGCCCCTACACCAAGTACCAGACGCTGGAGCTCGAGAAGGAGTTCCTCTTCAACATGTACCTGACGCGCGAGCGGCGTCTCGAGATCAGCCGCGGGGTCAACCTCACCGACCGCCAGGTCAAGATCTGGTTCCAGAACCGACGGATGAAGCTCAAGAAGATGAATCGCGAGATCCGTGTCCGCGAGATGACGGCTCCGTACCCCTTCTCGTAGAGCCGAGGTGGGTGGTAGGTTCGGGGAGGACACAGGGAGGCGTGCGATTCCGTGCGCCGTCGAGTGAGGGTTGTGCTCGCTCCACTTGGCATCGACCCACCGGGTCGAGGCGTAGCCCTGGAAAGCGGCTAAGTCGAACAGTTGAGGTGGCGCGTTGTTGACGAACTCTGGGGCGATATCACGCATCGCGACATCGCCAACAACGCCGTGGATTGGTTGTTTACCGTCGGCGTTTGTTCACGAATCCTTCGCACGGCCGGACTGGGCCACCAAATGCGTCCGCTCCAAACGATCCCTTCGCGGCTCTGAGAGAGTGGTATGGATATTACACATTCCTATGACGGGGGCCCAGACTGTTTAAACAACAACAACAACAACAACACACGCCACAAGATGTTGTTGACATAAAAACGACGCAAAACCATCAGTGACCAACAACAAAAAACACGATTAAAGCAACGTTCACATTGAGGTCGCGTTGTTTTGCTGTCGAGGTCACGTGGTTTCTCGCGCGCGTGTGCACACGTGGCCAATTAAAATATTTTGAAGAAACAAATCGAAGAGTGTTACTCGTTGTGCCGCGCTGCTTGTGACGATGAACGTGGATTTGTTGGTGGTGCTCGTGGTGGGTGGGGGGGGCGATGGGAGGGTGGGGGAATAGGACAGGGGGTGGGGGGGGTGGCACACAATGTTTACCGTAAGTCATCCCTTACGCATGGGCTCAGCGGCCAGCCAATTCCTTGCCTGGAGAATCGCAAATGCGAAACGACTGCTGCTGCTGCTGATGCTGTTTGAGTCTTCGTGGGGAGGGTGGCTGAGTGGGGAGTGAATTTGAAAAGCTTTCCGTGCGTGCGTAAGGGAGCGTGAGGGCGCTCTCGTGTTCTGGTTAAGGGTGAGAGGGAGGGGGGTTAGTGTCAAGGGCAGGGATTTGTGGTAGTGGCGCGCGTTCATTGGCCGACGGCTCCGGGCTCCACGTATCACCTCCTCCTCCTCTTCCTCCGGCCGTGATGGTGATGATGACACGCCGAGGGAGGGCTCTTGCGTGCCAACGTAGCGCTCTTGATTCCCTTCCCTCCGACACCATTCCTCGTTCCACATCGTAGCTGTTGCTGCTGCTACTGCTGCTGCTGATGTTGCTGCTGCTGCTGATGTTACTGCTGCTGATGTTACTGCTGTTACTGCTGCTGTTGATGTTACTGCTGTTGCTGCTGCTGCTGCTGTTGCTACTGCTGTTGCTGCTGTTACTGCTGCTGCTGATGCTGATGTTACTGCTGCTGATGTTACTGCTGTTACTGCTGCTGCTGTTACTGCTGTTGATGTTACTGCTGCTGATGTTACTGCTGTTGCTGCTGCTGCTGTTACTGCTGCTGCTGTTGATGTTACTGCTGCTACTGCTGATGTTGCTATTGCTGCTGCTGTTACTGCTGCTGCTGTTACTGCTGTTGCTGCTACTGCTGCTACTGATGTTACTGCTGCTGCTGATGTTACTGCTGCTGATGTTACTGCTGCTGCTGATGCTGCTGCTGATGTTACTGCTGCTGCTGATGTTACTGCTGCTGTTGATGCTGCTGCTGCTGTTGTTGCTCAGTGTCGCTGTCGTTGCCTCTCCCGACACTCTGTGTCGTGATCAGCGAAGTGAACATGGACCCGATCGAAAACACACGCGTGACTGCTCCCTCATTCCATGCTATTCCTACACACACACACATATATATACACACAGACACACATATATATATAACTTACAAATACAGTATTGTGATGCGGTGTTGGCAGTGGTGATACTGCGTTGGCAATCACTTAAGAAAATATTGTGTGTACTGTGTATTGGGGTTTTTAAAAAGAGCAGTGTTATTGATGACTGTGTCGAGGTTTCATTACAGCCATCGCATCCGTGCGTTTCTCCTGGGTTTGCCCGCCCAATGTTAGGAGAGAGAACGCGTGATGTTTGAGTCGTACTATGAGATGAATCATTTTTATGATTTTTTTTTACTTCCCCCCTTCCCTCCAGAGTTGAAAGTGTTTCTCGATGATGAGCAACAGCCGCCACGCTCAGCTCTGATTGTTTTTTTTTTACTGTCGTTTCGGCCACCGTGTTCGCGATGATTACAACTGTCCGTGTTTGTATTAAACGTGTCAAGTTTATTTCTGATTATGATATAATGTCATGGACGCATTTGTTCGGCGATCAGTGAAGGGTGATTTTCTCGGACTAACGCGTGCATTTGTACAATAGACGTCTCGTTGTTGATTGTTCTTCTTTACCCAATAATTTAAATAAAATAATCTTCACTCGTTCTAATGTTTAAACAATAAATAAATAAAACATTCCATGTTGTTCATCTGCTCGAGCGATGACGATTCACTTCCTGCAGTGAAATAGATGCGAATCGATCGCATCTCGGTCTCCGGTGATCGATTATTCAGGCGCGTCCAGCGTTCAATCTGAACTCCATTGAGCTTCAATATGAACAGCAATTAAGCCGTGTATCACTCTCATGTGGCCAATTATAGAGGCATATTCTCCATAACCAGCTTGCGCGTTCTCATGGTTGGTTACGTCCGGTAAATTTACATTTATCTGTTGTTTTTTTTTTCTTCCGGAATCTTAGTGAACCGTTGATTGACGTGAGTGTGTGTGTGTATGTGAGTAGATGGCCTAAATATATGAAGACAATGTTGTATATATATAAGTGATGTAATTCTGCGAAGCGGTGTGGTATCATCCTTTGTCGAATACTGAAGGGATATCCGAGGCATCACTCCACCACGTTTGAGGCATTTCGGTTTCATGCCCAAAGCGTCCAGTAAACATGCCCGCTCATTATTGAGATTCCAGCAACAACTGGGTCTTTGATGCTGCGTCGCGGATATTAAATTTGCCCATACGGGAGCTAGGGCCCACTGCCGTATTGCAAAGGGGCATAGGTTAACTGCTCACGTGTTGCAACCTCACCTGATGACGTGGTCGGTGACGTCACCACCGCACGCCGAAGGGCCACCCAGGCAGACAGGAATCCAGCCAGGCTGTATTGTTTTTCTAATTTAGTACGATGTATATAAAGGTCTGCATATAATTACTCCACGAGTTTTTTTGTGTGTGATTTTGTTCTTCCACTCTCCGTTTCGTGCAGTATGAGTGGTGTCGTGGTCTCTAAGGGCTTTTCTAAGTGATGCACCAACAGCTACATCTTCTTTTTCCAGTGGTGATATTGTACTTTCCCTTCCTCATCATTTCCGTATCGATTGTTTGTTTTCTTCCACTGGTCATATACGTGCTGTACCATAATTCTGATTCTAAAAAAGGCGATGCCAAATACCGTTAGTCTCTGCCTTCTGTGCACTTACGAAAAGGAACTTGATTCGGTGGAAATGAATGCAGTCACGCATCCAAGGTAGGTCAAATCCAGGCTATAATAACAATGATGATAGGATGTGTAGAAATTATTTAAATAGTTTAGAATGTTGGAAGAATCTCCACGGAGATTGCATGCCGATGGTGATGTAAATGGTGGGACGAGTCAGGCGTGGAGGAGGATGCGCTGTCTGCACGAACCTTTCTCAGCAAAGCTGGAAGTTATTTTCTGAAACGTAGCTAGGAGACATTGAGGCATCGTAGAGAGGTAAGCGGCGATACTATGATCGACTTCAGATATCATTGGGGGAATATAAATCATCGTACACAACCGACAGAGATTATCAATGCAAGTTGTCACGTGGACAAAGAAGCCAATTTATTTGGTGTCACATCAGAAGAAGAGAAGGGTTGGAAAGCAAGCCAAATTTTTTTTCTTTTATATATATAAAATGTATATTCTTGGTTCTTTCGGTAAAGTCACGTTGAAGGGAAACAATACATTTTATTATATTGTTTCCCTTCAACTTGACTTTTCCGAAAGAACCAAGAATATGAATCACTGCAGTCACGAAAGCTTTAAATCAAAATTTATAAAACGTATCAACATTTTGCACGTACACATGGACAACTTGATTTAATTGACCGTGTCGGGTAGGTGAAGGGCTATATTGAAAAGAAACAATTAACATTTCATACCATCTACACGATCGAAAACAAAATCGACTAATCGTGAATCGTGATAGCGCAGTTTGGTTGTGAACGTCGATGCGTCAAATGATAGCAACCAACGGCAATGGGCTACATCCGGGGAAATTGTTTAACATGTACGTGAGCAAAGTCTCGGACAAGCTCACGAAACCAAATCAAGTAACTGTCGACGGGACACAGCAGGCGAAACAGAACATCGGGAACTAGAAATTTGTGCGCGTTTTGTATCATTGGGGAAAGCATTTCAGGTGTTAGTGGGGGAATGAAAGAGGCGAGCGAGTGCATGGAGTAATGGAAGAGCGCCTTTGGAACATTAACAATTGACGAACAAAAAAATAAAAAAAACAAATAGCGGCTTTAAACGACGTGCTTAGAGAAGGGAATTTTAACTTCAGAGGGCAATCAAAGCCGACGTGACACGCGCCTGGATTCAGCAACACGTTGGGGGGACCCTGGGGCGTGATAACGCGGAACTAAAATCCGGAGAGGCGTCTCGCAGACACCCGCGCAAGATTCAAGCCGGAAATGACAAAACTGAGAGACGTTGGAACGAAAAAGATGCGTCCGACCGGCGAGCAAAGCGTGACGAGTTAGAGACGCGGTCGTTGCACGCACCCACCTCCGATGAGGGCGCGGTTTGGTTACGTACGGTGCGAAAAACCGAAGTTCAACATGCGTACGTCCACCGCTAAGAAAAAAAGGACTGTAGGGCGGCCTTTGGCCATAGGACGCGTCATCGTAAGGGATTGATATGAGACGGACGTGACCGGTAAGAGAATGGCAGCCACAGGAGGGAGCACGCTCGAGGGGAATTCATGTTCAGCGCAGAGGACTGGGGATTGGCGGCGACGTGGAAAGACATTCATCCAGCAGTGGATACAACATGGCTGCTGCTGCTGCAGATGAGGATGCTGCTGCTGATGATGATTATTATTGGCTTGAGCCCTGCCGCTGATGTTTACAGAAAGGTTGGTCGAGCGTTTGGTGGCTGATTTGTGCAGACGGAGCGATATTGATTAAATGAGCAGAGCGCCTAAACGTCGACGTGAAATTCTCGCACGCCTCGCTTCGCTGTTGGAGGACAGTGATGAACACATGACGTCACGTACGTAGAGAGACGCCATCGCGTGTTTGTGTGGCTCGTGAAGGACGCTGCTCCCGGGCAGTTGCAGACAGTCGCCCACCCCAACAACAGCGGAAGGGAAGAGGAGCGACGCTCACAACAACGACCGGAGCGCCGGGCAGATAAAATGCAGCAAGTTGGCACAGTAGGGGGCACAGCTGGGACATCTGCCAGTCATTCCATTCGGTCAACCCATGGCACCTGGGTGTTTCCCGTTACCTGTCAGCGAGCCTTTGGCACTTCACGTGGCCTCGGAGTACACCTAGCCTGGCACAGGCGCCGTGATGGCGGGTGTTGATGTTGCTTTTTGTTGTCTTTTTTATTTTTTACGACGGGAAGAGAGCAACAACGAGGATGGATGCGACCCACTTCCGGGTCGAGGAGATCACCATCGTGGCTACGCGTGTCGCGCTAGGGGACAGCCC